CATTGGGTAGCTAGTCTACAAGCATACTGTGAAGGAGGTGACCTGGGTCTGTTTTTACCATGACGAATGTAATCTTGTTTTCTTCTGGTGGGAAAATTCATCTGTTTTATACTGGAAAGTGTAACTGTGGTCATAGAGCACACTCCACTTTGTGTGAATAACACATGAAAGACAATATATGGAGAAAATGGATTTTCAGTTAATTTCAATTTCCAGATATCCATTGATCTTTTTAAAAAAATATGTTTTCATTGATTTCAGAGGGAGGGAGGAAGGGAGAGGGATAGAGATAGAAACATCAATGATGAGAGTCATTGACCAGCTGCCTCCTGCACGCCCCCTACTGGGATCAAGCCTGAAACTCAGGCATGTGCCCTGACTGGGAATCGAACCATGACCTCCTAGCTCATAGGTCAATGCTCAACCACTGAGCAACGTTGGCTGGGCTCCATTGCTACTCCTATTTTCATGTTTCATTTCTAGATATTTCTAAAAATGATCATTTAGACAGTCACCTTTCCCAACATTTACAGCTTCCCACTCTTGATTTTTCCTGGGGTCCAGTGGTGGCATGTACTGGGATGCACTTTGACAACAGGTAGTTTCTCAGAACAGCCAGAGAACGCTCTTCTTTGTGAGCGGATCCTGAGAAACCACTGCATGTGTGACTCCCGTACAAGCAGGAACTCTCAGGTTTCAAAAGGCCAGGAAAATACTCATCAGGGCTTGATGTTATACGTTAGGCCAGAGATGGGGAAACTTTTTCCTGCCGAGAGCCTTTTGGATAATTATAACATCATTCGTGGGCCATATAAAATTATCAACTTAAAAATTAGCTATGAAAAAAGCTCCTAGATTTATTGAATTTAGAGTCTCGCCTGTGGTTGCCTTGGCAGGGCCAGGCCAAATGATTTCACAGGCTGCATAAGGCCTGCAGGCTGGACATTCCCCACCCCTGCTTTAGGGAGATACTTCTACTTTTCAGACAGAAATGGACCACCTGCCTTCTAGTGCATTCTAGGTCACGTGATTTTTTTAAAACAATGGGTAGGAAGTATAAACTCTGGTTTTTGTTGGTTGGTTGGTGGTTTTATAAAGTTATAAGTATCTTTATAGTCTTGGGTATGAGGCTGGAATAATGCAAGCAAAATGTATTAAAGTGTGATTGATATTCTTTACCTTAAAAAAGTGGTAATTCAATCATGAATGCAGCATTTGCAGACTGCTCATTCTGCATTTACTCTGTAGGAAGTCCAGGTCATGGGTTTACGTATGTCCTTTCATTTTTAATCAACATCTGCTCTTAGAGGTACATAATATCAGCTCCAAGGTTGAAGATCACATGACAAAGAATTAACCACAAAGACTTACTAAAATGTTATGAGAATATTACAGATACTAATGCCATTTTCAGCTTATGACATTTGTCAATGTCTTTTAACCTTATAGAAAACAATTTATTTTAAAAGGCATTTGCAAGCAAAATAATTATATTTTATTGAAAATTCAGAAGTTAGAGTAATTTAAGACATTTTTCATATAAAGAAAAATAAGTTAAAAGAACAAAACTGACAAGTGCAGTGACATTTAGTTTTCACTCAAAATAACAATCATGTTGAAAAACAAAAATCCACAGCTTAATTTCTTTATGGTATAAACATATTTTCCTATTATCAAGAAAACTCTAATGGAATAATTTTCAGAATGATCTTTTAACACATGTGTTTGGACCCAATTTAAATAGTACATTAGTATTAGTATCTAATTCAGATAGATTACTGGTATGTGTGCATAAAACCTAGCTAATTTTAAAAATAGTTATGTCATCATAGGGCAATGTGTAGCATTTCTGGTAATTTCTTAAGCATGTTTTCTTATCTCCTTGGTAAAAACCAGTCACTTCCAGAAAGGTGTTTAGCCCAGTGAGCACTAGTGGCCTAAACCACAACAACTGTATTGCCAAAGTATTAACTATTACAGTCAGCCATTTAATGTTAGGAAGTATCTTGTTATACTTTTTAAGTTTCTCATTTTCTTATGAAGGGGGCACTAGGTAATCCAGAAAGATTAAAATAAACTTAGTTTTTTAAAAACTCATTTTAAAAATGCTCTATATTTTTATCAAATTATTTTTTCTCAACAGAATGTATTCATAAGTAATTTTACCTTTTTCGATGATCTCTATTCTGTATCTTCTCCCTTTTAGAGCAAGGAGAACTAAGATCAAGACCTAATGTGGGTATAGACTGTCAGTAAACAAATGCACTATTCAGATGCTGTACTGACGGACACTACAGTGTAAGCTACGGTAAGACGTGTGCTTTGCCACAGCTAGAAATGGCATTGATGTAGAACTTCAATTGATATTTCAGTTAATATTTTAGAGTACTTTGTAGTTAGAGAGCTTTTCAGTAACTATTATGAAAATACTGAATGAAATTAGGCCCTGTTAAAAAGTTTACAACATGCACATTGCACAAAATGCTTACAAAATGTTAAATGCATCTTAGGTGAGAGGCAGAAATAGTTTTAATAAAGGGGATTCCAATGAGGACAGAACTATAACATGGCACTTGCTAATACAGTACTTCTTTCCTTTGATAACACCTATACAAATTGGTCTTTAACCAAGAAAAAACCCTAGTTCTTATTTAATTGTGGAGAAATCTGGCCATGTCAGGAAAAGATCCTCTGATAAAAAATGTCTGATAACCAGTGTTTTAACAAGTCAACTTTAAAACTGGTGAAACCCTTTTGAATGTAAGGGAATAGTGGTAACTGACTTAGAACAGAGGTTATCAGAGGTAAAGAAAGCTTTCTTTTCTCTCCCTGACCCCAGTAGTAGGAAAGGCTCTCAGGCACCTGATTAGCTTTCAGAGAAGGAGGGGACTTTATGGTGGAGGCAGAAGTAATTTTAGCCACAATGTAACGGAGCAAAGATACCAAACAAATTTGACAGGTGCAATCACTCTCATTTTTCCAGGCCCTAATATAAAAAGCAAAAGCTGGTTTCTAATCAAAATATCTTCTCTAAAAATCTTTAGAAAATGTTATGACTCATTAAAACTAAAATTTTCAGAGGGAAAATATTGCCCACTGATTTTTTCACAAATAAAATACATCATCAAAACTCTAAGAGTGCATTTATACTTTACATCTAAATAGTGTTTCCTGTTAAGAATTAAAACTACTCCCTCCCTTTTTAGCCCCTCCTCTTTTCTGCATTTAAACTTTTCTCTTGTGCCTAAAGTATTGATAATTTAGTGAATTAAGCACTGGGTGTTAGTTCAGCATTCACTGCATGAGGAGGCCTGGTTAATAATGTGCTCAACATTTATTCATGCTGACTTTATCATAGCAAAAGATAAAATTTAACCAAAAATTTCATTGAATTAGATGAATTCATAAGGAGAATAAACAGGTACACGTATAAAAAAATTTCATACACAGACTAAAAATACTATTTAAAGACAGCTAACCAAAACTCAATAGTACTTTCTATTAAATAATGGTTTTCAAGTCATTTTATACCACTAAACTTTTTTTAAAAAACTCCTTATTCTTAGATTCAAAATTATATAACATTAGTTTCAATGACAATTACTTTTCCTTATGTCTTTCATATCTTCTCAATATGGCTAAATGCTCAACATAACATTTTTGACATTAAAAGTATCACAAACAATTATTGGTAATAATGCAAATGTTTAAAAAAGGTTTTGATTCATATGTATTTGTACCAAAATAAAGTTTCTGTTATTTCCTTAGGATTTTACTTGACTCATTCGGGATATAAGCAGAAAATACTTGAACTAAGTTAACATTTACATATAAAAATATAAAATATATATGATCTTGATATCTTGTACTATTACAAATTAGAGTACCTACCACCAGCCTGATTAAAAGGTTCAACATGTTTTGAACAATAAAAAAATAAAAAGATTCAACATGTTTTAAAGTATGAATTTTTTTAAAAAGCAGGATACTTAGTTTTACACTTAGAGTTTCTCTGTTTTGGCTAATAACTGGGCTTGAGGAATTTGGTATAGAAATAAGTATTTCTCTGGAAGAAACAGGGTATCTCAATATTTAGTGGACAGTTTATTAATGTCTTTATTTTCCTAAGTATGGATCTTTTTATGGTATATTCTGCCCATTTTTATCAATAAGAGCAAAGCCACAGGGCTGGAACCTGAACAAATCCTGTATTTTGTCAGATATCTATTTTCTGTCATTAAAAAGAATGGTGCCTAAAAAAACCTAGAAAGGGAAGAATAAGAGCGCAAGCCACAAATAGGGGGCACCTTCTACCAGTCAGCAGTTAAACCAGCAAATGGTTTCTTTTTTTTAAAAAATTTCTTCTTTCCCTTGTTGAGGATTATATAGCTGTAGTGCAGGCTTCTTAGAGTTCTGATTTTCTGCGCAGGTCACATATGCTATTCAAAGATCACTGGCTCTCAAAGTATTAAAAATAATTAAATGGACACTAAAGTTGAACTGAATTCATTTTTTCTTACATGTGATGTGAAAAAAAAAAATCCTAGACTTGGGAATAAAATGATCAGTTCTCTTGACCAAGTTACTGAACCTTTCTGGGCATCAATTTTCTCAGGTGAAAAATAAGGGAATTGTATTGGGTAACTTTAAAGTCTCTTTCAAATTTAATGGAAACACTAAGGCAGCATCTTGCAGAGTGCCTTGTAGTTTTCATTATGAAGATCAACTGCCATTATAGAACAGTGTAAAAATAATTCTGGTTTATGGTTTTCTGATGCTAACATTATGGCTAATGAGAGTTTTCTATACTTCCAGGGCTAATCATAAGTATTTGACCCTCAAAAACATAATCAAGATATTTTTACATTATACACAAAGTATGCTTTGACATCCACTGGGACAGCCTGGAGTTTTTTGTTACTTATGTCCTTTAATTCTTACTGTTGAAATCCTGTTCTCTCCTCAACTGGATGGCAAAACAGTNAAAGTATGCTTTGACATCCACTGGGACAGCCTGGAGTTTTTTGTTACTTACGTCCTTTAATTCTTACTGTTGAAATCCTGTTTTCTCCTCAACTGGATGGCAAAACAGTAGCATGGCAATAAAGAGATCTTGGTTAAAGTATTTCTGACTGAATAAAGAATAACAGAAGTGTTTTTATTCTTTAATTTTAAAAAGTACTAATATTTAAAACCAAGAATCTGCCACAGTTTATCACTACTGGTAAAGAATTACAACTTACTGCCAAAATACCAATATTGTGTCAAAAGAAAACAGAGTTTGCTTCTATTTTTAAGTATATGGCAATGTAGTCTGCTAGTTCTTATTTTAATCATTTTCAGAATTGAGACAAAAGTAGAAGACTCATAATTCCATGTCAACTATTTCAAACCAGATGTAAAGCATGTTGAATTCAAACTTAGAGAGGGACTTTGTGGAGTACCAGATATAACTTTGGGAGTAGGGTAAATAATTTCTTCAACAGTTACATAGGTACCTAACAAGAAACCAACAACTCCAATAAACGCTATAGAAATATTTTTCAGGATCATCCATATATTGTAGTGTTCCTTAGAAAATGTAAGAATTTCAACCAAAGGAGGGAGGATCAGGGCCAGTGTGCTGCTACTCACAGCTCCAACAAAGGAAATCACAATGTCTAGACGAGGAATCAGAACTGCTCCAGCACCTAGGAAATGAAAAGACATGTCTTTATTTAAATATTTAATACTTACATGAATACTAAGTATAGATGTTTTCAATTCATTAAAGTTAATTAATGCAAGTAGGCACTACTAAACTGCTTGAGGAAGAATGTCATACTTTGTTGAGAGGTAAAAATGAAAAAACGGTGAGTGACACTTTTGGATTGACTTGTCAGGGTTTATAATATTAAAAACTTTTAATGTTTTGCTGTAAGATTCTGGGCAAAAAAGTTTGGGTAGTTTATTTCCAAAGCATTTTCGTTACTCTGCCAATCAGTTCATTGAGGTGGTGTGATATAAACAAATCATTAAATGAACTTGAGAGAAGAGCTGGCTATTTTTTACACCAGAATTTCAATTAATCAAATAGAAAATCATTATTAAGCAAACACCAGTGATAACTGTTATAGGAAAAATCATTGAAGGATCCTATAATTAGTAGGCAAAAACTGTGTGAAAACAGGTTATTTGCATAGTTCAACGTATCTCCCTAATTATAAAGGGGAAAAAGTTTCTTTACCGTGGAGAAATCTCTCAAACACCTCAACTAAGCAAAGTTAACATCACTAAGACATGATGATACCATTGTGTGATGCATTGAGAAGTGCAAAGTATCACCTGTGGAATTCTTGTTAAAAATGCTTAACTTCAACCTAATCATAAGAAAGCATCATACAAATCTAAATTGAAGGAAATTCTACAAACTTACACTTCAGAAGTGTCAAGGTGAAGAAAAAGAGAAAAAGGTAAAGACTAGACTAGAGGATACTATGTAGACATGACAACTAAATCAAGTGGGATGTTGCATTGGTTCCTGGGTCGGAAAAGGATATTAGTGAGAAAACTGGCAAAATCAGAATAAGGTCTACAGATTAGTTGGTAGGGTTGTATCAATGTTAACTTCCTGTTTTAATAATTGTAGGAGGTGGATCCAAAATGGCAGTGAAAGAGGACATGGAGTTTGCTCCCTCCCATGAACACATCAAATGCCCAAATGTACACCTTTATTTAGAGCAGTTCCTCCTGAGAGACAAATGAACAGCTTCTGCACAACAGAGAAACACCAAATAGAAAAGATTAAGGAACTGTGGGAGCCCACCAGAAATCTGAGGGAACCATCAGAAACGGAGGAGCCGGTGAGCATCACCGTTTACATGCCCCCCGCACTTGGATAGCTCAACGGGAGGCTCTACCAGGCACTCTGGCTGACCTGCAAGGCTGCAGTAGCACATCCCCAACTAGCTCAGTAGGAAACAAGAGTAAGCCATAGTCGATGTGCACAGCCCTCCCCGCAACCTGAGCATAATCAGTAGGCCCAACAGGGTGCTGAGGCTCCCCTTCACCAGGCCATGACTGCCAAGTACTCACTGGGCTGCCACTGGGAGCAAAAGCAGAACTATGAGAGAGCCCCAGCTCATGCACACTGGGCAGCCCTGCCTGGAGTGAGAGGGAATTTGGTGCTGTGGTCCAGCTCTGACGAGCTCGTAGCAGTCAATCCGAAAAATAGGGTGAGCCATGTATGCAGAGCAGAAAGTCATCCCCTCTCCCCACCAGGAAGAGGGAGAGTGCTGCTGCACCTCAAGCCTACACAGGGCTCCCAGCGCAGCAGCAGTCAATCAAAACAAAAGGTGTGGGGACACCTGGATCCAAAGCAGAATCAGCAGGGTTCTGTAGCACAAACCTACAGGGCTGCCCCACCCTGCACAGCAGGAAAGCCTGCATGTACCAGGCCATACCACCCAGAATCTGCAACTTCCAGTCAGGCAGCATCCCAGCAACCCCACATACCGCCAACCACCCCAGAGTCTACAGAGGCCATTCTGTCAAGATTGGGGGAGAGAGCTATCTCATCTAACTTAGAGGAACTAACACCGAAGGTCAAACAAAGTGGGGAGACAGAAGAGTATGCTCTAAATGAATAAACAAAAAGAAACCCCAAGGAAAAACTAAAGAGATCATTTGATAAAAAATTTAAAGAAACAGTCATAGGATGCTCAACAAACTTGAGAGTAGACTAGAGAACTTCAAGAGTTAGAAAATATAATAAAGATTTGAAAGAGTAGTGGAAAGCACTCAATCAAAATGAAAANCAAACTTGAGAGTAGACTAGAGAACTTCAAGAGTTAGAAAATATAATAAAGATTTGAAAGAGTAGTGGAAAGCAATCAAAATGAAAAAGAGTTTTTTAAAATGAGAATAGTATAAAGGCTATCTGATATAACAGTCTTTAAGGCAGCAAGCAGGAAACAAGTCATATACAAGAGAAACTCCATAAGGCTATCAGCTGATTTCTCAGCAATGTTAAAGGTCTGATAAAAAGGAACCTATAATTAGATTATACCCTGCAAGGTTATTCAGAATCCAAGGAGAGATAAAGAGCTTCCCAGATAAGCACAAACTCAGTTCACCACCACTCAATGGCTTTACAAGAAATGTTAAGGGATCCTCTTTATGCAGAAAAGAAAAGGTGATAACCTGAAATAAGAAAATACAGGAGAGGAAAATATCATTGGTAAGGCAAATACATAATAAACATAGTGAATCCATCACTTAAAAAGATAAAAGGTTAAAAGACAAAACTAGCAAAATAACTACAATAAATAGGGAATACACACACAGAAAAGATATAAAACATGACAATAACAAAGCATGGGGGGAGAGAAACTGGTGCTTTTAGAATGCATCTGAACTTAAACACATGTGATCTTAAAATAAGACTGCTACAGATATAGATGCATATATGGTAACCACAACCTACAAAAAATACATCAAAAATCAAGAGAAACCCAAACAAAACACTAAAGAAAACCAGCATACCAAAAGAAAAGAGATCAAGAGAAACAGAAAACAAAAACAAAATGGCAATAAGCACATACCTATCAATAATTACTTTTGATGGGAACATTTAGTCCATTTATATTTAAAGACACAGCATGGCAGCAAACCCATTGATATGCTGCCTACAGGAGATTCACTTTAGATCAAAAGACACACACCAACTAAATGTGAAGGGATAAGCAAAGATATTCCGTGCAAATAGAAATGAAAGAAAGCTGGGTAGCAATACACGTATCAGATAAAATAAACCTTAAAACAAAGAATTTAAAAAGACAAGGATATTACATAATGATGAAGGGGTCTATCCAAGAAGAGGATATAACAATTGTAAATATATATACTCACAATATAGGAGCACCCAAGTATATAAATTATTAATGTACATAATGCCAGAAATGAACAGTAATACAATAACAGCTGGGGACTTTAATACCCCACTTACCTCAATGGATGGATCATCCAGACAGAAAATCAGTAAGGAAATAAGGGCCTTAAATGTCACATTAGACTAGAGCAACTTAATAGACATTTTCAGAACATTTCACCTCCTAACTGCAGAATATACATTTTTCTCCAGTGCATGTGGAACATTTTTCAGGGTAGACAACATTAGTCCACAAAACAAGCCTCAATAAGTTCAAGATTGAAATCATATCAAGCATCTTTTCTTACCAAAATATAAAACTAGAAATCAACTATGGGAAGAAAACTGGATAAAACACAAATACATGAACATACTAATAACCAGTGGGTCAAAGAGAAAAATCTAACAGGAAATCAAAAACTACCTTGAGACAAAATGAAAACACAACTTCCCAAAATTTATGGAATACAGCAAAAGCAGTTCTAAGAGGGAAGTTCATAGCTAAATAGGCCTACCTCAAGAAACAGGAAAATTCCCAAATCTTCCTTTACATCTAAAGCAGGGGTGGGGAACCTTTATTCTGCCAAGGGCCATTTGGATATAACATCATTCACAAGCCATACAAAATTATCAACTTAAAAATTTGCTACAAAAAATGCTCCTAGATTTATTGATTTTCAAGTCCTGCCAGCGGTTGTCTTGGCAGGGTCAGACCAAATGATTTTGCGGGCCATATATGTGGACCAGATGTTCCCCAGCCCTGATCTAAAGGAACTAGAAAGAGAACAAAGAAAATCCAAAGTAAGTAGAAGTAAGAAAACATAGAGCAGAAATAAATGAAATACAGACCAAAAAAATAGAAAAGATCAATAAACTTAGAGCTTGTTCTTTGAAAAGATAAATACAATTGTAAACCTCTAGCTAGACTCATCAAGAAAACAGTGAGCCCAAATAAATAAAATTAGAAATGAAAAACACAAATACAAATGATCATTAAATACTATGAACAATTATATGCTAACAAATTGTATAATCTAGAAGAAATGGATAAATTTCTAGAAACATACAAATTTCCAAGACTAAACCCGGAAGAAACAGAAAATATGAACAGACTGATTACTAGCAATGAAACTGAGTAACAAATNACCCGGAAGAAACAGAAAATATGAACAGACTGATTACTAGCAATGAAACTGAGTAACAAATAAAAAAGCCCAGGACCAGACATCCTCACAGGTGAATTCTACCAAACATTTAAAGAAGAATTAATACCTACTCCAACTATCTGAAAAAATTAAAGAGGAAGGGCTGCTTCCAAACTCATTCTATGAGGGCAGCTTTACCATGATACCAAAACTAGATAAAGATATTACCAAAAAGAGAATTACAGGTGAATAGCCCTGATTAACATAGATGCAAACATTCTCAATCAAGTACTAGGAAACCAAATTAAACAATACATTAAAAGGATTATGGAACATGATCAAGTGGAATTTATATCAGGGATGAAAGGATGGTTCAATATCCCCCAAACAATGTGATACATCACATCAACAAAACCAAGAATAAAAATTCTATCTTCTCAATAGATGCAGAAAAAGCATTTGACAAAATTCAACATCTATTTATGATAAATACTCTCAACAAAGTGGGCTTAGAAGAAACTTACCTCAACATGATAAAGGCTATATATGATAAGCCCACAGCTAAAATTATACTAAATGGTGGAAAGCTGAAAGTTTTTTCTCTAAGATCAGAAACAGGCAAGGATGCTCACTCTCACCACTATTACACAATATAGTATTGGAAGTCCTAGCCATGATCATTAGACAAGATAAAGAAATAGAAGTAAAACTGTCACTATTTGCAGATGATGTGATATTACATACAGAACACCATACAGAATCCACCAGAAAATTAGCAATTAATAAATGAATTCAGTATATTAACAGGATACAAAATTTATACAAATCGGTTGTGTTTCTATATACTAATAACAAACAGAAGGAAAAATTAAGAAAATCCCATTTATAGCTGCATCAAAAGGAATACCTATGAATAAACTGAGGTGAAAGACTTCAACTCTGAAAACACTGAAGAAACTGAAGAAAACAAATAAATGGAAAGATATACTGTATTCATGGATTGGAAGGATCAGTATCATTAAAATGAATACCCAAAGCGTATACAGATTCAGTGCAATCCCTATCAAAATACCAACAGCATTCTCAGAACTAGAACAAATAATCCTAATTTATATGGAATCACACACACAAAAAACCCACAAATAGCCAAAACAGTCTTGAGAAAGAGGAACCAAGTTGGGGTTATCACACTCCCTGATGTCAAACTATACCACAAAGTATAATAATAAAAACAGTATGGTACTGGCCCAAAAACCAACACACAGATGAATGGAACAAAAGAGAAAGCCCAGAAATAAACCCTCACTTACATGGTCAATCTACAAGAAAGAAGGCAAAGATCTACAATGGAGAAATGACAATCTCTTCAACGAGTGGTATAAGGAATACTGGACTACTCTTATACCATATGCAAAAGTAAAACTCAAAATAATATATTTTTATATATGTCTCNAAATGACAATCTCTTCAACGAGTGGTATAAGGAATACTGGACTACTCTTACACCATATGCAAAAGTAAAACTCAAAATAATATATTTTTATACATGTCTCCTCAAGCAAGGTACNATAATATATTTTTATATATGTCTCCTCAAGCAAGGTAAACAAAAGCAAAAATAAACAAATAGGACTTCATCAAACTCAAACGCTTCTGCATAGCAAAGGAAACCAACAGAACAAAAAGACAACTTACTGAATGGAAGAATACATTCACAAATGATATATACAATAAGAGGTTGATATATCCAAAATATTTAAGGAGCTCATACAACTCAATAACAACAAATAATCCAATAAAAAATGGGCAGAGAACCTGAAGAGACCTTTCTCCAAAGACATACAAATGGCCAACTGAAAAGATACTCAACATCACTAATCATCAGGGAAGTGCAAACGAAAATCACAATGAGATATCACTTCACACCAGTCAGAATGGATATTATCAGAAAGTCAACAAATAACAAGTGTTGGCGAGGATGTGGAGAAAAGGGAACCCTTGTGTACTGTTGGTGGGACCGGAAATTGGAGCAGCCGCTATGGAAAACAGTATGGAGATTCCTCAAAAAACTAAAATGGAACTACCATAGGACCCTGGGTATTTATCCTAAAAAAAGGAAAACACTAATTCGAAAAGATATATGCTCTCCTATGTTCATCACAGCATTACTTATAATAGCCAATACATGGAAGCAACAGAGGTATCCATTGGTAGATGAATGGATAATGAAGAGATGGTACCTATATATATACAATGGAATACTACTCATCAATAAAAAAATGAAATCCTGCTACTTGCAACAACATGAATGGACTTAGTATCATGCTAAGTGAGTAAGTCAGAGAAAGATGAATACCACAGGATTTCACTTATATGTGGAGTTTTTTAAAAATCAAAACATACAAACAAAACAAAAATTACAATAGAAACAAAGAACAAACTGATGGCTGCCGGAGGTGAGAGAGGTAGAGAGATAGGTGGAAAAGGTGAAGGGGAATATAGTCAATAATGTGATAAATTTGCATGGTGACAGATGGTTGCTAGACAGTGGGGTGAACACATTATAAATTATATAAATGTCGAATCAATATGTTGTACACCTGAAACTAATATAGTATGCAAACTGCAATGATAAAACAATTATTTATCTACTTTAACCAGTTGCTTTTTCTTCAAACAAAATGTAACACCCAATTCTTTACATCTAGGCACAAACTCTACCCTAAGCTGTTCAATATAATTTACAGAGTTGCCCAGAAATTCTAGCTTTACCATCCTCTAACCTTGAATGGCCAACATGGTTACAAGTACCTTCCACAGAATTTCCAAAGCTGCTTATTCCCCCAGAACACCAGTAGCCAGGTCACTGATATCATTCTAGGCAGTCTCATTAGTTAGTTCAGTGTTGCCGTTATCCTTCTATTTGTAGTTATACCACTAATGGTGACAATAACTTCCTGCTACTTTGTTAGTATTTTTAAGCTCTACAAAAATGGCTTAAGGAAGTCCTAGCTTTATTTCAAAGTTGAGGAAAGAGGGGCTCAAAGATGGTATGCAAGTTCCCTAAAGACACCAGCAAGAAAGTGGTAGACCTGAGTTTGAACCATCAGGTTAGTATGACTCCAAAACTCATGCTCTTTCCACTATACCAAACTCCCTTTCACAAGTCTCCATTATTAATGCTTGTGGAGGAAATCTTAATAACACATTATATACACTCGAATAAGTAAATAACACACTGAAATTATTAAAGACAAAAACAAAACCCATTTCCATAGGTAGTCATAGAGAGTTACACCGTTAAATATACAAAAGTTAGCAGAAAAAAAAACAAAACGCCTCAGGCACCCGGCTGGACATGGCTCAGTGGCTGAGCATCAACCTAGGATCCAGGAGATCCTGCTTTGATTCCTGTTCAGGGCACATGCCTGGGTTGCGGGCTCCATCCCCAGCCTGGGGCGTGTAGGAGACTGCCGATCAATGACGACTCTCTCATCACTAATGTTTCTCTCTCTCTCTCCCCCTTTCCCTTCCTCTCTCTGAAATCAATAAAGATATAGTAAAAAAAACAACAAAAAAACAAACAAACAAAAAGACCCCAAACAACCTGAGGAAAACTAGAACCAAAGTAAAATGTATTATCAACAGTATAAGGGGTCCCTCATGCATTTGATTTAAATATACTTATATTTTAATCACCACTGATGTCACTTTCAAAATAATCCTTTAATTAGTTTTTCTAAGTATGATAGTATCTGGTTGTGTTTTTCTTATATAGTAGCAGAGTAATAAAATTTAAAACCAACAAGTATCCCAGCTAGGTGAATAAAATTATCAAAAATATTTCAAAAATATACTTTAAGTTGCTTTAGTATACAAAATTCAACAATAAAAATTATGATATAAATATGTAGTGATACTTACAAGTAACACTAACCAAGATGGACCTTATCACAAACTCACAGATTCGCTTCCATCTAGCCTGAAATTTGGACGTAATCACAGGGATAATGATCTCTGCTGGAACGTAGAACTGAATAGAGTATGTCACGAAGATGCCAAAGGAATAGAGAATTTTCACTGATTGATATAACCTGTTTAAAAACGTTCACAATTTAGTGATTCTTTTTTTCCAGCTTTAACTGAGGTACAACTGAAAAATAAAACTGCAATATATTTAAAGTTTAGAACGTGGTAATTTGAGATGCATATACACTGTGAAAGGATACCCACAAGTAAGTTAGTTAATAAACCCATCACCTCACACATTTACTTTTTTTTTTTTTTTGGGTGTGAGAACACTTTGGTTCTATTTTCTCAGCAAATTTCAATTATACAATTCAGTATTATTTATCACCTATAGTCACCATGTTAAACATAAGATCCTCAGACCTTATTCATTTTGTAACTAACTGAAAGTTTGTACCCTTTTTTCAAGGTTTTTTTTAAAAGCTAACCTAGGAAGTTGCTGATTGATTTTCTCAAGGCTGCATACAGAAGTTACCCCTGGAAAGAATCTAATAATTCAGTGTCCCTCTTGGACCCTTCATGATACAAATCATGGTTTAGCTCTGTTAAGAAGAAAAGCCTTTTTGAGGACTAACTACAATCCTTATCAAGAACCTCACCACATTCTCAGCTAAAAGACAACCAGGGGTATCTGGTGTTCACCACTAGTTGAATGCTTTGAACCACTAAACTTTTGCAGCACGTTCACTAGAGTAAGCATTATGAGGAGATTTTTATCTGTTCAGCACTGTGTCTCTAGTGCCTGGAACAGTCCCTAGTATACAAAACGCATACAATAAACAGTATCTGTTAGATAAATATATGAATCTGGTAGATACCCTTCCTTTTGAATTTAATATAGTTAATAGTCCTTCTGATGAGAAAAGGCAGAGGTAGTTTGGGCCAGGGTTATTAGTTACAGGTAACTTTAATATTGGAAGAAGATGATTAAGAATTTGTGAGAAAGAGAGGACAGAAGGAACAGTACAGAATATATGAATTCCCTCCCAATGTGGCAGCACCAGGGGTTCTCACAGCTCTGGGCTAATGTGGTGCATCATTCTGAAGCATCAGCTTTACTCAAAGGCTTTTTGAGGAGGAATTATTTTTATATAAAAAGCAACTTAGAGATTATGAACAAGAATGTGAAAGGTGTATTTTTTTAAATAGAGCATGAACTGATGCAATGCTTGAGGCTGGCTATTTGGGGGTACTGCCCCAAGACTCCCAAGGAGATGCTTTTTTTCTCTCCTCTGCTACTTGGGTTACTTTAGTGGAAATCTTGGAAAAACACTGCTAAAACATCACTCAACTGGGACTAGTGGCGATGCCTTGGTTATATTATCAGATAACAGGGACGTTGTTTAACAAACTCTTACTGCATGTCTCGTAAATGCTGAGCAATGCGCCAGACTGTGGAGATGCATCATAAACGTAGAAGAGGCAGGGTTCCTGCCCTCACTGTGCAGGTTTCTAGCTCAAAGTTGTGGATTTACTTCACTGTCATCTTTAAAATACTCTTTACTTCAAAAGCTAAATGCAATACACTGAATAACATTACTCAAAATAGTTTTAAAAGATGAAGCCTCAGCAAGATTGAGGATATAACAACTTGGAGCCTCTCTAATCCATACTTGCCTTATCCTGAGGCTGCTTTCTAATTTTATCTTTTCCTTTAGAAATACCCCTTATGAACTTTGAGATTTAAAATTAACATGGCACCAAAAGCCCCTTACAGCTTCTCACAGCTAGTAGCTGTTAGTCCCCTAGGCTCTTGTGACAGGGCTTCCATTCTCCACCAATAGAGTACACTGCACATTCTCTACCTTCTGAGGCCCATTGCCTGAAGCACAGGAAGAGAGGGGACAAAAAGACTAATACATAGTATACAGAGAAAGGATCTTAGCTGTAATCCCATGATTATTCTAGTGCAAACTTATTTTACAGAAGGCTATCACTGTAAAAAGACAAGCATCCCCTCTCCAGTGTCCCTCAGTCGCGGCTATTATTTTAACTGCCCAGCTGCAGAGACCACGTAGAAATAACTACAGGCCACAAAAGGCGTATTTCCACAATGAAAAGAAATTACTCAACAGTTCTCTAAAGGAAAATATTTATCTTGACTTGCTTTCCCGTTTTTTCCAGATTTTGTGTTTTAGGATACTTGTAGTAGGCATTCCTCTAAATGAAAAGCAGGTATCTAGCTAGGCTTTCTTAAATAGAAACTATGATCTAAGAGTCCCCTTTTAATCAAGATTTACAATTAGTTCCATTCTTACGGGAGAGCAACAGCAATTAGTACGGTGAGAGGTGAGAAGGGGATGCAGAAAAAGAGAAATATCAACTAGAGCTACCACAGGGACAGTACCACCCCATCGCGATTCAGTTGTGAACACCAAAAGCCTTGCCTACTTATTCCTGCCCACTGTTCCTTCACCATGTTCCTAACTCTCTGGGGACAGGCACATCTTAGCTTGAGGTGCATGCATATGCCCACTTCAGTCCCCTCTCCCTTAAGATTTTCTTTAAATACTTTTGTGACCAAGAGTAGGAAAGAATTCTGAGATTGTTCCACCTATGTTTTATATTTGACATTAAAAGTACTTGTCCAATTTATTTATAAAATTATTTTTAAGATTCAGTCTAAATATCATTCTACATGATAGAAAATATCATTCTATTTTCTAAATACTGTGCAATATTTGGAAAGAAACACTAAACTACCATAATTTTAGCCTTGATTCTTATAGTAAGCTGTATAAACTTCTAGTCCATATTAAATTATGAACAAAAAAGAAAAAAGAAACACATTTAAAGGAAACAAAATTATATAATAAACTAAAACATAGTTAATGAAATAATGCTAAACAACTGTATATCTTGTTTATGAAAGATACCCATTTGATCCTGTTTTCATATTGAAATACATTTATAAAATATGTTATAGGTGAAGTAAAACTGTAATTAAAAGATAAACCCACTGCATGTGTGTCCCTTGTGCAACCTGGAAACTACTCTTCGGTACCTTCCCTCTATCATGAATGGCTTCTTACATACACTTATTCTGACACCAGGTTTGACTCTAAATAAAGACCCAGGATTCAAATGACTACTGAATGGCAGATAAACTTTCATCAGGAAGCCAGTCAGAAGATATTTAACATTTAAGGTTTCAAGCAGCTAAAGCAACGTGACATTAATTAAATAAATTTAGCATTTATTCTCTGCATTTATCAAAACTAAAGAGTTACCTTTCATTTTATAAATAAGGGAGCAAGTATGCACGGTAATCACTGCCAGTATCTCTTTTCAATCTCCAAAAACCAATTCCTGGAAGAAGGAAAAACCCTATATACCGCTTCATTTAGCAGAATATGGTGCTAATATTAAAAAGAATATTAAGACACCATATTATTTAATTTATTTATAATGTGCTCTGTGTTCTGAAAGGATCTGGAGTACACACAATATTAAGCTGACCAGTAAAACGGTGGGGGACATAAGTAACAGGCTATATTATCTTATCAGGAACCCAGAGTGCTGGATTTCTGGGCAGTAAGGATAAGTGTTAAACTTTTAAAGTATCCATATTAAAAGAATACATGTTTTTTGCCTCTACTTTACTCAATTTTGGAACTCCCCACAATTTTTAATCTTTTTAAAAAATCCCACAAGGATCTATAAAATCACAGGTGGTCTACTCTGAAGATTATAAAAATATTTTAGACTACACAAATAAAGAAAAGAAATCCATAAAATTTCATACATTTAAACTATAAATCCAAGGGTTCACCTTTATCATCAAATATTGGCAAACTATATGCATAAAATATACAAACTAGGTTTAAGAAACTCATAGCTACTTACCATACATCTTGAGGAAGATTTAAAGTTATGCTGCCTTTGATGTCATCCTGAAAACACATATATCCTAAGGTAGCTAGTGTTATATACAAAGTTGTAACAATTATCATGCCTATGTTCAATGCTTGGGGAAAGCGTTTTGATTCTTTCATTTGATTTTCAAGTGGAAGGACCTAAGAAGAGAATGCAAATAATACAAATCACTTAAAACAGTCTAGTATCTTGTCTTATATATATACAAATTAATCTTTCTATACCTTATATTTTCCTTTAAAACAATTATAACTGTTGAAGTGTTTTTCTAGGTGTTTTATTTATATACAGGGTGTCCCCAAAAATATGGATACACACTTTAACAGCTAATAGCTCAATTTTGAAAATGAAATGTATTTTAATAAACACTGCCTTTATAATTATTCAAAGTGTATGTAATACATTTTTGGGACACCCTATATAGGTATTTATATTTTTTATACTACAGATTTTTTAATTCCTTAAAAAAATTTAAAACCAGTTCTTAGCAGACAAACCTGCTTGTTTTTTAAAATATATAAATTTGAACGCTTTCCTCTACTGTTAACATTTTACACAACCAAAGTACATTTGTTACAATTAAGAACCAACACTGATACATTCATTTGGATTTCACTAGTTTTTACAGATGTCCTTCTGTTCCAGGGTCCATCCCACCAAGGACACCACATTGCATTTTGTCACCATGTCTCCTCGGTCTGTGAGAGTTCCTCAATCTTTCCTTATTATTTTGATAGTTCTAAGGAGCACTGGCTAGGTATTTAGCATAATCTCCCTCTATTTGGGTCTGATGTTTTCCTCATGACAAGACTGGATTTGTAGGTTTTAGAAAAGGACACCACAGGGGTGAAGTGCCCTTCTCATCACACCTATAATCAATAGGAGCTATCAGTAGTGAAGTTAATTGTGATTACTTGGTTAAGGCAGTGTTGGCCAGGTTTCTCTGCTTCCAAGTTCTTTTCTTCCCCTCATCCTACTCTGTTCTTTGGAAGCAAGTCACTCGAGGCAGCCAGCCTACCCTCCAGGGACTAGGGGGGATTAAGCTATACTTCCTGAAGGAGAGTAGTTACATAAATTATTTGGAAAGTCCCCCTTATTTGATTAAATTATGTACTTATTTAATCATTTACTTATATTAGTATGGATTCACGTTTTTTTTATACTTTGAGTATGAATCCAAAACACTAATTTACTTTGTTACTCATATTTTCCAGCTTTGGTTATTGTAAATTCTGTCAGGTTGGCTTCTGTGTCCTGTTGCCCTGCCTCCGTTCTTTTGGTTTTTGAGCACTTCCATACTTTCTGGCACTACAAGAAGCTCCACACTCATCTTGAATTTCCTTGCTTCAGCCCTAGAATCAGCCATTTCTCCAAAGAACTTTGGTTCTTTGTTGAGAATGGTACTGTATTTAGAAATCAAGATCTGTGTGTGCTCCGGGTGCTTGCTGATATGGGGTATCTCACTGCTTATGGGGCCTCTCAGTAGAGAGTGCTAGAAAACATATGTAGAGTAACCCATCTATACACATGTCTATAATTGTTTGTCTTTCCATCTGTATCTGTTGTCTATTTAGTGAGATCAACAAATTGTTTTCCTTTACTTTTTTACATAATGAAAAGAAAAAAAGCTAAAAGTTTTTAGGTAAATCTTCAGAGATTTTGGCCATATGATTTGATCATACTATAAAAGACACAACCATCATAATAATAGCAATTAGTTACTGAGAGCTTACAGTGTGCCACACATTTTTCTAAAAGCTTTGCATGTAGCATCTCACATCATCCTACAATAACCCTATGAGATAATAACTCTAACATTATTTCCATTTTTCAGGTGAATAAGTGAGATCCATATGGAGATATTAACTGGTTAATAGGAGAGAGAACAGGGAACAATTTGGATGCTCTGGAGATAATCCAGGCCTGAAATAAGGGGCTACAGTCCAGAATGGTGCCACTGAAGCTAGAAAAAGGAAAAGGGGAGGAAACTAACATTTACAAAGGCTGCCTCTGTGTCAAGCAGCATTGTAGGTGCTATATATATATAATCTGACTTACAGATTTGGGGAAACATGAAAGAAGAATCAGCATGCCTTGATTATTGACTGGAATAAGGAAACTAGTAACCGAGTGAAAAGAATTAATCCAATGTTTCAAGCTTGAGAGATTGAAAGTAAAAGAAAGTAAAACTAAAATAAATAGGAAAATGAGAAAGTAAAGCTGTTTTTGCATAAGAAAGTATGTGTCAGGCTCTAGAGTTGATTGATATGTCAGAAAAACAACACTTAACTGTAAATGTCCAACAGTTAACTAAAGCTTAGTAGGTAAAAACAGAAATGAAAATCTGAATGAAATATGCCTGTAGCAGTGGTAAGTGGAGCTGTAAGAACTTGTGACAGTTCTCTAAAGGGGAATTCAGACAGCAGAAACCCAAATAAAATGGTGTAAAATTGTTTTTTAGATCTATTTTGTCTATGGTTCATATAAACAGTGTTTATAAGAAGTTTTGCTCCCATAACAAACCATCACACTATGAAACATAAGCTATGGAGTAAACAAATATTCAATTCGCCACAAATCTACACATTCTAGGCTTTAAAAAAACTGGAACCATCTTGAATGGAAATATTTAAGATCTTAAAATCCTCAGGATGCTTGTATCTCTTGGAATTAGCTTTACGACATTATTTTTCAAAACAAGCATGATATGCATAAATCTAAAGGGAGAATTTATATTTGACTCTTCTTATGAAATAGTAACATTAAAACAATTTCAGTTCACTTCAAATCATCTAATCTATACAATATGATGTTTGGGATTTGTCTGAATATAACCCAGGCGTGGCAGAGTAGACGCAATATATATAAAACAAAATTGGCCATGAGTTAATGGTTTTTGAAGCTAGGTGATGCTTACATAAAAGTTCATCATACTATTCTCTAAATTTAGTTCTTGAAATTTTCCATAATAAAATCTTAAAAATCATCTAATGTCATGCTACAGATTAAGATAAAGAGAATTAGAGAGTTTAAGTGATATGTCTAAGACTAAATTCTTGGTTAGTGGTAGAATTAAACTATAATTCAAGTCTGTCATACCAAAATGTAAATCATGTTCTAGAAATAAAATAGAAACAAAAAAGAAAAGCATGCATTTTAAAATGTAACTTGACTACATAAATCTTTGTGTTGATTTAAGATTTTAAGAAATAATAAAGACTAAATCCTTACCACTCCTATGCCTTCAAAAGCAAATACAGCAGTACCAAAAAAAAGTGGGTATTTTTTCCAACCGGCCACTATTGGAAGGTTGTGGAGATCTGGCATATTCTGGAGAAAGAAAGAAAAAAATAAGTCACATCTATACTTATTTTAAAGAATTTTAAATGAAAGCAAAAATCACACACTTCCGAACTTCACAGCAAGTACAGTGTAAGGCAAAAGTAGGTTTACAGTTGTGAGTACCCAAAATAGAAATTATTCTATCATTTTTGTTAATTATTGTATTATTTTTCACATGAATAACTGTAAACCTACTTTTGCCCCACCCTGTGTTATAAACACTTTAAGCATTCTATGTTAAATGTTGCCAAGCTGTTAGGATTTCACTGCCAAAGAAGTTGTTTTCCTCATGCCCACACATTCCATCTGAGCTAAATGCTCCTTATTACCTGTTTCCACCTGCAAGTCCCAGGCTGTTCACACTGGGTATGGCTCCTGCCACAACAGGAAACATATAAGCATACTCAAGGACTGAGCGATTTAATCAGTTATCAACCACTGCACATGGTGTTCAACAAAATTCATTCTCCACTTCATTGCATTCACCCTCTGAAATAACTGGTTCATAGCTCTGTGCTGCTCCCTAGGACAGGTATCCCCATTTTCAGTGTGTTAGTCTCTGACCAGACAGTTGACATGAACTTTATTACTTATACATATGCCTTGACTCTGGCTTCAATTACCTGGTCCTGACTCATGGCCTTGTTGCAACTCTCACTATCTGGAAACTCACAAACTACACATCTCGTTCAAGGTCTCTGGCTCCAAATGGCCACTTCTTCCAGCTACCCCAAGTCTGGTCCCTACTCTCCTCATCATCCTGTGTTCTCTGCCTTATCTGATTGAAAGTGGAATTCAAGGCCAAGGAAAGAAGATGAACTAAGAAACTGAAGTGTGAAAGCACACATATAATTTGGGAAATCAAGAGGTCTAGAACTTAGGTAGAATTGTGTGATTAATGACTAAAAACATAAGGCAGGGTCAGAATAAAAAGGGTATTAAAGTGTTTAGATTATTTGATAACACTAAACTGTTACTCAAGGCTCATACTGCTCCTTCTACTTAAGGAAGCTCCTTTTCTGCACCACTAAGTCTTACTTGTTCAGCTAAGGGATCATGAACTCCAGAAAGCCTTGAGACATTCCTGCCTGTCCCCTTCCACTCTTACATGGTATAAGAAAGTCTACAGGTGTTGGAATTCGGGGGCAGGGGAAATGAAACATACATCCATCAGAGAGTCTGCAATGAATTTTTATTGGAGATTTCAGAATAATTACTTTGGCGGCAATACATAAGATGGTTTGGATCATGGAGACAGAATAGGGAGTCCCCCCTTTCTTGAGTCATTGGCCCATCTGAGATGAAAGCTGTACTGGTACTCAGCAGGAAAGCGCATATATACACATAGAAACACTAAATCTTACAAATAATTTTAAGAGATTTGCAGATCCCCTGAATCCCATGAATAGATTCTTTTAAGGAAAGGCGTTAAGAATCCCCTGAGTATGAACAATGAAATCAGTTGAGGTTATTGCATACTTCCAATAAAAAGGTTACAGACTATGTATACAGTGTGTGGACCAAAGTGGTGGCAGCAAAGGTTAGGAAGTGAAAGGAAACTGTAAAATTACACATACACTCCCATCTCTTGTGACTGGTTCAAGTCTTAAAGGAATTAAACGAAACACTCATAAGTTCTTTGTTTCGTGTTAGGCAATGAACCAAGGCATGACCCTAAATTGCACACCAACTCTACCAGAGGAGGCAGTACTATCTTCTGAAGCAATGCCGAAAGCCCAGAGCGGTTACCAAGATGCAATACCAGACCTGACCACAAACTTGAACTGCAAACCTCTAGGTCGAATACTTTTCCAACAAGCAGTACCCTCCAAAAGGAAGGCAAAGTTCACTGATTATCTCCTGTGTGTGACATGTGAAGTAGGGGTCTTCACACATCATTACTTTTACCTCCAAAGTAAACAGAATTTCCTTAAGAAACATGACAGTAAAAATTTGTTATACTTACCTTAACAACATATTGATAAATTATCACAAGACTGACAGCCATGGAAATGTTGGCAAGGAATGAGAGCAGAAACAGATTCTTTAGCTCACGAATGAAGACCAGGAGAATTATAAATGGAAGAAAGCAAAGCATATATATCCTTAGGTCAATACTTCTTCTCTCACAAGGATTTGATGAATTGGTACTATTCAAAACAAACACTTTACTCTCCAGGAATCCCTCATGAACCTACATAGGATTATCAAGAGAATAAGAAAGGGGGGGGGAAACTTCCATCAACTTATAATCATAAAAGGGAAATATAAAGNTCCAGGAATCCCTCATGAACCTACATAGGATTATCAAGAGAATAAGAAAGAGGGGGGGAAACTTCCATCAACTTATAATCATAAAAGGGAAATATAAAGAAATTTATGATCTATACACTCAATGATAAATTCCTTCACAATATTTATACTGTTTCAAGATACTCTAGCTTCCTAGAAATATACACATCAAATTTAAGGATAATTAAAATAGGATACTCTTCTTTGCAAAATAACTTCTTTTACCATACTGTGAGCAGAAAGGTCACTATGAAATTATGAGAGTAGATTTACTAATTTATTCTGAAGCTTTGTGACTAACTATGATGCTTCATGATCCCAACAGAGGCTCAATCTGTTTCTGAAATAGTCAAAAGAGGCATACTTGCCTAGAACGGCCATTAAGATACTACTTCAGCTTATTTTCTTCATAGTAGAAAGCTCTAGGTACCTCTTAGAAATGTACAGTAGTCCAAATAAAATTCTTTAAAACTGTTGTATAAATCAATTGTTTATACATTATCATCATATCAATAAATATTTATTAACAATCTACTAAATTCATGCATGGCCATATGCTAAACAGTAGATAAATTTTTGCTAGAGCAAAAAACTTCTTTAAGATAAATCAAATTTACCTTAAAATTTATTCAGCCACTTTTATAAACCAATGATTTACAGGATCCATGTATTAAAAATTGTCTGATTCAATTAACCACATAACCTAACTCACTAAAATAGAAATGAAATGATAGAGAACTTTAAAAACAATCTTAAAAACTCACAGCAGAGGCAGATCATACCATAATTTAAATAACAGTGAAAATCTATTTGCCTCCATCACAGTACCCTTCTTTGGACATAATGACATTATCAAGTCTCTGAATACATGAATTCTTCAGAACTAGACCCTATAATAATAATAGCAAGTATTTTTTAAGTACTTTCTATGTATCTATAGAACATCTCATTTAATCCTCAAAATAACTCTGAGGTAGGTGGCAGTATTAATCTTAATTTATAGTTGAAGAAACAGGTCTATGGAAGGTAAAAAAAAAAAAAAAAACTCTTACATAATATCAAGTCAGTAAGTGGTGGTTCTAGAATTCAAACCTAGGCTTGAGATTCCAGAATCTAGCTTGTAACAGCTACATGTTAACCTGACCAAAATACTGCAACCCTGCCCAAGTAGCAACCTGGCCTCCACTCCAACATCTCTCTCTAAATATAGTATTAGCAGGCCAACAAATCCAAAATTTAGAACAAAATTCTCATGTGATTAACAATTCAAGTGTTTCCTTTAATTTTACACTTATAATCCACAATAAACAATATTTAGTGTCACTAAAAATGTATACATCATCTTTAACTGCAGGGAATATATCTACTAGTTTCAAGTTATGCAGGCAATTTATTACTCAGACTAAAAGACTCTCAGGTTACAACATGCACCATTAAAAAATGTATAGCTCACAATAAGCTTGTAAGTGGCCATCAAAACTTTATATTTTATTTTCTATAAGTTGAAATAGAAGCTAAATTGGTAATTCACATTACTTGGCTCTGAAGAAGGTATTTTATTTGTTGACTCAGTTTTCTCAGTAACCAAATTATTTGAACCAAGTACTTCTGCATCAAAGAAGTAACTCCAATAATGAGATTAGATAATGATCGAAGTTAAGCTCTAACAAGGATAGCTAGCAAGAGAAAAGCAGTTATATAACCAGTTTTTAAAAGGGCTATTTGAAATATTAGGTGCTTGGGAATCTGAAATTAATTCTATCACAAATATCTCATAATTTAGTATTCTTTGGCAGAACAATGGTTATAAAAATTTTCAGGATTAAAAAATAAAATAAAAATGTACATACATACCCAGAGCAAGATTCAGGTAAACATTTGAGTCCTTTGGTGCCCTCTAGAGACAGAGATTGGCTATCTAATAGGACTTCCTATGATCTCACATGTTTACCAAAATGCAAAACACTGAAATAAATATTATAAAATAAAATTACTAAATTCAGTTGTTTCCATTTAGAGCTCAAATTGACTAAAAACCACTACTTATTTTTCAATTATTCAGTAATTTAATGGTTAAAATTCCAAAGGCAGATTACATTTCTCAGCAAAGCTAAAATCAAAATCCAAGCCATAATACCCTAGTTTGTAGGCTGCTTTACACTTTACAAAGGCTTTCACAAACCTTTTGTCAGCTGAGCCTCACAATAAGTCTATAAGGAACAAGGGGAGCTTTTGTCACTATTCCCATTTTACAAATGAGGAGACTGAGGCTTGAGCAGGGATAAGGGGGTCTTGCCCAATGTGTGAGGTAAAACTGAGAGAGCTGGGATTTGAATTCAGATCTTCTGACTCTAAAGTCTATACAAGTCTTTGGTATCACAACATTTTTTTTTTCTTAATGTAGAATCTCTTCTCCACTCTTCATGCCCAATATACTATTTTATCTACCGGAAATTTTCTAGAGTAAGAACAGAGAAGCACTATAACCACAATGAACTAAATCATGGAAAGCACTATGGTTTTTTCACCCTCCAGTTGTCCACAGTGGCTTAATGAGACCAAAAAAGCCATATGGCAGCTACAGAGCAGGAGGTTCACACATCTGTACAGCAACTAAACCCTTAGTTCTTTAGTTTAATGAAATACTACACCTTCAATTTTATGCAGATTAAGGTGGTAATAATATTAGTTTTTAACTATAACAGTAGCAGTAATTGGTAAGGTTTAATCAACCCATGTGTCTATCACTGGAGACTGCTATCAAATGTAAGAGAGCGCCTCTGTAGAGAGTGAAAATCTCCGATAATGCTGTTTCAGTGACCATCTCTCTGCTCTGCCGAGGTGACATGTTCATCATTCCTTTCACCTTCTCCCAAGTCTCAATGAGTGTCTTTTTCCATGTTGCTCTTTATGCCTCAAAAGGGCTTTCATCTTTCTATCTACAACAGGCATTCTTATCTCCCACAGAGTCACTTTTCTACCTGGTATTCTAGCAAATGAGTTAAATTCTTCTATTTAACTTGGAAAACAACTGATAATATTTTAGAGGAGAAAGTCACAAATCCTAAGCTTACAGACATATATTTTATGTGCTTTATATATTCTTTGTCTCACACACACACACAAAAATCAGACAATGTTCTGTCCAGTGATGAGCTATTAATATACTAGGTGGCAGCTGTGCCAGAGACCTAGATATCAGCCTAGTTCACACGACTTAGGGCACACTGCTCATGCAGAGCAAGACTCAGTTTCCTCATTCATAAAATGAGCATAGTACTTACATCACAGAGTAGTTGTAAAGATTAAATGATATATGTCATAGCTTATAAATATAACACTGTACAGCATTATTAGCATTATTCATAAATTCAAATCAAGCTTGTTGGTTGCTCTCTTAGGAGATAATAACAAAGACAGAGTACACTACCATGTTGCACAATCCTAGAAAGGCATCATTTCCATTGTGTTCTACGTAAATGATTGGTAAGACGATATGTTTTACCAGTGCTTGACAATAAATAGCCTCTCAACTGAGTTAGTAGTCTAGGAATATGCAACTTGTGGAATTAAATACTTGCAAAATTAAAAGCACACTATCCATAATGAGTAATGCTAATGAGAGCATCAACTCTCTTATTTATATAAGGGGGTTTGACTCAATAAGCCTTTCCAACATTAGAAACCTAAGCTAATGGCTTTAGCAAACTATGGCCCACAGACCAAATCTGGCCTATTTTTGCAAATACAGTTTTACTGGAATACAGCCATATCTATTTGTTTATGTACTGTTGTCTATGGCTGAGTTCAGACAGAGACCATATAGCCTGCAGCACTGAAAATACTTATTATCTAGCCATTTGCAAAAAAAGTTTGTCAATTCTTAGTCTAAATATAAAATGAAGCATTCTTTATACTTAGTAAAGTGAGTCAGATATACTTATATGTATATATATGGGTTCTTTAGAAAACATATTTTTGCATTAAAATACCTACAAGTACTATATATTACTATGTATAATGCCTACTACTGCACCATGCACATGTAGGTAATTAATAAATGTTATTAAAGAGCAGGGGGAATGTAGGAATAAAAAAAGCAAACTACCAGTTAAAGCACATGAAGAAATGTGCTCTGGCATTGTTTTGATAGGGGAGCTTTTTTATTTCAGTGCTTTGCATATTTGTTCAAATTGAGAGTCTCTACTAAGACTGTACATCACTTCCTCTTACAGCAAACATTTACATATGGAGAGAATTACAGAACACTGTACATTCCTGGGCATAGTATTTTTTTAGACAATAGGAATAATTACTGGATTTTAGTAATGTCCACTTTTGTACTTCACTTTTTAGGTTACTGGCTAAAGCCTTATATATGTCTTTATAAAACATCAATGTAAAGAATATGCTCCCAAACATTTGTATATCTAAATCTCAAGTAGCTAAGTATCAATAAATTATGTCCTGTTCTGATCTGAAAGAACAAGTATCATTGATATGACAAGAAACGTAAGATCAACAATAGCCAATATCCAACTTGCAAAAAGGACAACTAAAGGAAAATCTACAAAGAAATATGATTAATGAAAGAAAGACATTTGCATATTCAACCATGGGTTACTCAGAGGAAATATGATGCTATAACTACTGCATTGAAGAAATTTCAATAAGTGGACAAAAATACTTACTTGTTTCACATTTTCAGCTAAGAAGACAATATAAACACTACAGAATCCCAGCTGTGTTATTACCAGAAAAAAGTCAACCACACTCCTGAAAAGAGATACCCACAAATGAGTATCAATGAGAGCTGATGAAATATCAATATATACATATTTTCTCTTTTTAACTACTTCAAAACATTTTATAATAGTGTATATTCTTTTCACTTCCTTAAAATATTTATTTTCTACAAAAATCATACATTTATGATCAGTATGTCACTACAATTATTATTGAACAAAAGAATGTTCTATTAAGTTAAAAGGCCAAAACTCCCATCACTTGTTTCTGAAATTCAACAGTTTATGAGCATCTGCTTAAAAAATGAATTAATGAAAACATTTCTTCTTTTAGATTAAGCCCATCTCTCTTACTTCAAGATATTTTTTAGATCAGTCCAATATATTTCCCAGCTTCATGTCATTTGCGAGTATGATGAGCATACTCTCTGCTACCAAATCACTAATAAGAATATGGAATGGGAGAGCACTGGGGCATGGCCCTAAATCATACCATCGGAGAAGTCTTCAATATCTTAGCTCTGTCCTTATTTTCTAATGAGATACTCTAGAAAATTCCAGCTACATAAAATAGTGTATGGGGGAGGGAAAGGGATATCACCAAGTTAGCATTATTTGGGTATGGTGGTTAATCAAGTCACAAATTTACTACATGTTAATATATAGCCCATACTTCTCAATTTTTTTTAAATTCTCACCTGAGGATATTTTTATTGATTTGAGAGAGAAAGATGAAGGGGGAGAGAGAGAAACACTGATGTACGAGAGAAACATCAATCAGTTGCCCCCTGTACGTGCCCCAACTGGGGATCAAACTGCAACCTAGCTATGTGCCCTGACAGGAATTAAACCCACAACCTTTTTGGTGTACAGGATGACAACCAACCAACTCAGCCACTCAGCTGGGCAATACTTCTCAATTTTGTTCTGGGAACAATAAGTGACTACACCAGCATGCATCTACTATATTACAGTCTCTTGTCAAGCTGTCAAATGATCTGGTCTACAAATCTACAGAGCCTCCTCCTGCCATTTGAAACTAGAAGAGCATGCACCTATATCTTCATTCTTGTCATATCTCTATAGTTCTCCATGGTTCTTCAGGGATCTCATTTGTAAGTAATCTTGGTACCCTGAAATGAATTCAAGTTTCTTCTCTCTGATGAATTACATTTAAGTATTCCCTCAAGACCTCTTCATTCACCTTTGACTTTAGTATCCCATCAATAATCATTCCAGTCAGCCACTTCTATGTGAAAGCCATTCTTGATAGAAAAAAACCGACCAAGTTGCATCTGACTGGAGTGGGAGGAAGAAGATACAGTTCTGGGGGCAAATCCCTAGGGCAAGAGACTATTTTCTTTCTTTTCCTACTCAGAATATCAAGAACTCCAAGCAGCTCATAAATAGATCTAAACTCCAGAAAATCCCTAGAAAGGCCATACTTAACCATAAACTACTCTATTAACACTGTTCTTTTTAATTTTCACTGCACATATCATTTGTACCACACTCAGCATTTTGTTTATCACTTATGCTTATTTTTCCAGGCCTGTATTCATCTGACTTTGATTAGCCATGCCCACCAGTGGTATAGTTACATTTAAACAATAAGATAAAGATAAGAGTATGCTAAAATACATACGCCAGATGTCTTATAAACACGTAGCTAAACAGCATGATTTTATATGAAATAATGAGATTGCAACTTTTTTCTTGCTTTTTCCTTTACTTAAAAAGTTATTGAACACAATTATATCATAGGTTAGCCAGGTGCTTTATAAATATCATTTTATTTAAACTCCTGTAGTAAGCCTATGAAACAAGTATTATTATAAACTCATTTGATAGTGAAATAACTAAAACAAAATGATGATTTGACTCAGGTCATAAAATTGAAAAACAGTAGTTGAGATCTGATCCCAAGTCTAACTCTAAAGATTATGTTTATTCCCTCAACTTATACTTCTATTCATGTATCTTGTCATATTAAAAAACACTTAAAAATTAATGCAATTTCAATAACCAGACATTAATAACACAGCAAGTACTTACCGTCCCCATGCTGCTTGCTTCTGAAGACAACTCCAAGGACTTACTTCCATAGCAAAACTCACAGTGTCACTATAGCCTAATGTTGACTTTTTAAACCTGTAATTTAATGACATACATGTATATGAAAAAAAATTAAGTTGGTTTATAAATCCTTTCCCTGAAAAGAACATCAAATAAATGGGAATTAATGACTACAGGGCTATGCCCTGACAGAGGAGTTTTTGAAATATCAAGATCTGCATGCTCCTAAAGTATGTCTCATGAAGTTAAAAAATTTTATATCTGTCCTTATTACCAATATATTAGTTTTATCTACTGTTAAAGTTCATATATTTGTAGAATTCATATAATATTTGTGCTTCACTGATTTAAATATTTCAATTACCTAAAAACATCAACTATACTGTTCATGCCTCAATTATTCCATTCTTAGAATAGCATTGCTTAATACAGCTGTACAGGGCTTTACACTATATTTCCACATACTGTATTTAATACTCAAAACAGACCCATGAGGTAGGTATTACCTTCCCCAAGTCCTCTCTCCCACTTTTCTTTCAAGTATACATTGTTATTTAAAAGTCATAAATTACTTGCCCAAAGTTTTAAGAACATTTAAAACAACAATAGTTAAGATTAGAATATTAGTTTACTAGAATACACAATATTTATTTTTTGAAAGTTGGTCCAGCCCTGGCTGGCGTGGCTCATTGGTCAGAGCGTTGGCCCATGAACCAAAGGGTCTCTAGGGTTTGATTCTCAGTCAAGGGCTCATACTTGGGTTGAAGGTTCAATCCACAGCCCAGGCAGGGCATGCACTGGAGGCAACCTATCAATGTGTCTCTTTACATTGATGTGTCTCTCTCTCTCTGTCTCTCTCTCCCTCCCCACCTTCCACTCTATCTAAAAATCAATGGGAAAAATAAAATCCTCAGATGAGGATTTAAAAAAAAAAGTTGATCCATTGTCCAATAGAAGCATTTCATGATACAAAGATAAAGAAAAAAGAACATTATTTTTATGAACTATCTACCACTCCACATATCAGTAAAGAGCACCAAAGTCATTATACCCCGAAGTGAATTACTAACAAAGTGAAGACCATTACACTATAACGAAAAGCAGTACTGCTTCCTCCATTTCCTGCTTTCTACAGTATCTTTCCTGTGTGTTTTTTTCCATTTACACTATGAAAGAAACCATTCTACCACTAAAAGGGCAATTTTTTATTAGAATTTTTAGTTTTATTTTTTTAGAGAGAGAAAGAAAAAGAGAAACGCTGATTTGTTCTTCCACTTATTTATGCATTCATTGGTTGCTTCTTGTATATGTCCTGACCAGAGGTCAAACCTGCAACCTTGGCGTATCGGGACAACACTCGAAGCAACTGAGTTACCCAGTGAGGGCCAATAAGGCTGTGTTTCAAAAGAAGTAAATATATTCTGACCAGCTTTCAAACATATGAAATGCTACCATTTTGCAAATTCATCCTCTTAAACTTGTCGATATAACAGATTACAGGAAATACAACTGCTAGTTGCAAAGCAGAGTAGAAATATAAGACTAACACTGTAAATACACAGCTTCAAAGTAAGACTTAACGAATCCATATTTACCTCTGACAGAGAAAGTGACTGCAACGCACCAAAATGTGCATACAGTGAACAGAAATAATTCCTATAAACACAAGGCTGATTGGTCCAAGCTGTAGGAGAAAAAATTATAAGGTTTAAATATTTAAGTTTAACAAAAATTAAGTTGCCTCATAAGCAATAAGACAATGAACTATTCATTTGCAGTGAATAAATATTTGTCGTACAAAATGACTGAATAATTATTTGCATACAGAAAAACTAATAAACTGGATACAGAAAGAACTGCAGTAATACTTAAGACAACCACATGATTCTAAACCTATGGATACAGAGTATAGCAGTGTCCCACCAAAATAATTATATGCAACTATGAATCATCTAAATGACTAAAAAAGCACAATATCAATTTGGGATTGGGCAATCTACTTCCTCTATTGCTTGCTTGTTGAGCATTGACTATGTGTGAGGAACTATGCCTATAAAATAATTATTTGAAAAAGTGATACAAAACAAAATTCAAGTATTTATTACTAAAATTAAAATTATCCCTGGATTACTGAGAAACAGACAAAATATTGCTAAAGTTTACTTTATAATAATATTTAAGTTTCTCTAAATTAGGGTGAACTAAGTCAAATGTAGAGAAAGATGATAATTAAAACTGTTTTTTAGAAAACTGGTCATTTAAAAAAGGGTTAAACATAATTTTATTACTTCATAAGTGAATTCTCCCGTCTAGATTCTCTGTAATTACAATTGGTTATAACAACACTTTAAATATTTTCAAAATATACTGTTATTCCTTTTCTTAACTATTGTTCTTGAAACCTGAAAACTGTACATTTTAATCTAACTCTAAAAACCTATAAAGTTTTGCTAATACTGTACAAATTATGTGCTATATATATTTGTTGATAGGAGTACATGGCTTAAATCCCTGAAAATGCAAGAATAATAAGATATAAACATACCTGGAAAAATAAAATACTATTTTAGGAACTTTCTGTCAAATAATATATATTAGTAATTAGGTAGAAATTAAGAGAGTAATTAATTGTAATTTTTTGTTAGATACTATCATAGTTGACATAACTTTATCAGTACAATGACTAAGTGATTATTAATTGCGCCTGACCATCTTTTAGTTGACGGAGCTACTTGTTAATTTGTGGTAATTTTTGCTGTAAATTAAGACTGATAGCTATATCTTAGCTAGAAAGTACAATGATAAGTCTTACCACTATGCCTGCATTTTTTATTGCCAATGGAAGTCCTAAAAGGCCAGTTCCAATATTTCCTTTAAGAAGATGCATGAGAGTCTGCACAAATCTGAAAAGGAAGTTGTAAGATTTAAACATTTTAGAAAAAAGCTATTACAATCACATGATTATGGTTTTAGCACTAGAAGGTAACTGAAAATTAATCTAGGCAAAGAATCAACATTTCCATTCAACTAGAAGTTAAATGGGCCAGAAGTCATATTTGGTTCAAATTCTATCTCTGCCACTTAAAAGTAAAATACAACCAATTGAATTTTTTAATGGTGGTTTTAACTTATTCTACAAAAAAAGGTTCTCAATACTACCCAAGAACTTGACCAGGAAAATAAATAAAAAATAAAAGTAAAAGTAAAATACATAGGGTTATTATAGAGATTAAGATAGTCAAGTAAAAGTATTTTTGTACATATTAAAGTAATAAAGAAAATGTAATTTTCTCATAAGATTCTTCGCTGCTATAATATTCAGAACAATGTTGAAGATTACAGGTAGGCTGGTAAGACAGAGCAGTTTATTGACACTGTCTATGTAATCATAGTACTAAACATTTTTGACCAATGATCTATGATTAACGTAAGAGGAAGTTAATTAAAAAATACACCATTTTAAAACAATGTGTATCATCAGGTAAGATAAATACTGATTAACTTTCAGACTTTATGAACTCCCTAAGGGATTTCACCTAAGAGAAGTTTCCCAGACGCATTTAAAGGAGGTTTCTTGACCAAGAAAAAAATAAACTAGGATGAATAGCACAAATTTTAAACTTATGAAATAAAAATGCTCACTTAAAATTTTTTAGTTTATACTATTCTTTTATCAATTAAAAGAATTGTTTACTTTGCTTAATTGTTAGATTACTATTAGAACCAGAACTTACTCAAATCTATTAATGATGATAAAGTATAAAAGGTTTAAAATAGTTCTACTGCATAAAGAAGGGTTTACTACCTACCTCCCACAGTCCAACTCCTAACCATTTCAGAATCAATTTCTCTTAAAATTTCTACTCCTCTCAATCAGATTTCCCTTCAAGATCCACAGCATTTGATATGTATCAACACTGTAGTAATACCCGTACACTGCTCTGTAGCTTGATGTATTTCTTCTTTTCCAAATAGACTATAAATACCTTGAGGGTAAGGACTATGTCTTATTCATCTTTCTGTCTTCCATAGTACCTAGTAAAGTCCCTTGCTAACAGAAGGTGATTATGAAATATATACTGAATGAAAACAAAAGGAGACATATACACCATAACACTTACGAAATGCCCTCTTGGCCATCAAGCTGGTAATGCTTCTGAACAGGTAGGAGCTCTTGCTCATGTTCCTCATCTGATGTCCCATCAAAATTCTGCTCATTTATTAAGGGCCTCATCACATCCATATCTTTAAAAATAAAAACGAAAAACACTTTTTCTACATCTTCAATTACCTGTAACCATGGTTTCTTTCACACCCTTAGCAACATTAGCACCTTTTTTTTTTTTTTTTGCTTTTTAAATATCTTTATTTTTCTGGATTTGGGGAATGTAACCAGATGGCCTCTTTATGTTTTAAAATTGTGCTAATCATTAATTTCCCCAGCAAAAAAAGTATCCTCCCCTTTGTTTGTTGCCTGAGAGATGATTTTTGTCATGCTGTGGTATCAAACTTTGGTTCAACAACTGAGATGGTTTTTCTGTGAACAACTTGGTCGAGAACCAAATTGTTCCAGATGGGAGACAGCAGAGAAAAGAGGTTCAACTGTACTATAAACTACCCAGCTCCCACCCTCATTCCTTATTTCTTTTATTCTGTTTTTTATTTTTCCCATAGCACTTCTCACTTAACATACTATATGATTAACTGATTATTTTCAAATTCCTCTTACTAGAATGTAAACTCCATGAGAGCAGGAATCTTGATCTGTTTTGTTCATGAATGTATTCCACGTGCTTAAAACAGTGCCTGGCACATAGGAGCACCTCAATAAATGTGTGAATTAATAAACAGACATAAATTTTTTAAAAAATCAAAATAATCTGGATCCCTTTTTTCAGTTAACAGAAATATACATGTTGAATATCTTCCCATATTACTTTTAATGGCTATTCAGTACATGGCTATATGACCATACCACAATTTACCTAAACAGTTTTCTTCAGTTGAACATTTAGATGGTTACCAGCTTTTCTCTATTATAATGTAATGAACATCTCAGCATAAGTATTTTTTACATGACTTATTTCCTTGGGAAATATTTCTAGAAGTATAATTGCTGGATCAAAGGATATGTGCATTTTTAAGGATAAATACATTATACCACTCTTACCAGCAATGCATGAGAATGCACATTTCCCCACATCCTCACCCAGATGGGTTATTAATGAATTTAAAACAGATAATGCAGAATTATGCACCTGAGACCTACATAATTTTGTTAACCAGTGTCATCCCAAAAAATTCAACAAAAAGAAATAAGAAAACAGATAAACCTGGGTTCATATCTGGGTTCTGTCATTAATGAGCTTAAATTATTGTATCTATAAAATGAGAGTAACAGTAGCACCTACCTCACCCCACTGCTATGAGGACTGAAGGAGACATGCTTGTGTAAAGCACTTACTTAGCCCACTATGTGATCCACAGTAAACTTTTAATAAAATGCTGAGTTTACTTCTACCATTATTATGACTTAAAATCAAATTGAAGTGCCCCGCACATTATTACAGAAATGCCAACCAATTAGTTACTGTAATAAAGTACTTCTTTAAAGCTCAGCTTTTTTAAATTTAGCATCAAATTAAAAATATTCCTAAATATAATGCATGTGGGGAGGGGAACACACACAATAATATTACTACCCCGATCCTTACTTTTGTTTTCCTTTTGACAGCTGGAAACCATAACGATCTCACATTCCCTGGCTGTCTCAGATGTGTACACAGCGCACCACACCCCCGGCAGCACACCGGGAAAGGAAAGGGTGCCGCACGCCGCTGCTCCAACCTGATCAGTGACCAAGCCAACAGTCAAGGCCTCATCAACGCCTTCCGCGGGGGTGGCCACCTACACTTACTAAAAAGGTAAGTACAGAACGAAGAGCCAGTTCTTTATCTCGATAAAATGTAAAAATAATTGCTTCCCCTGACTCCCAACCACAGGTGCTTGGCGACGCTGCCTTATTTGTACATTCTCCCCACCTGATGTAAAACTGTTCATCCTTGAGTGTACGCATGTAACCAAAACTGCTATAGCCGTATTTTTCCTTGCCCTCCTGCCTATATAAATATTCCCTCTGCTTGGAACTCTGCTCTCCGGAAATATCCTCCGATGGGCCCAAATAAAAGCCTCTTTTCTCACATACACAAAGGTTCGAGTCTTCTCTCCGCCGACGCCCCGTAACCCGAGGGCAGTCACCTCCGGAGCCGCGGCCGGCCCAGGAGTCCCGGGCAGGGTTTCCCTCGCTGGGCTTTCTGCTCAAACCCGCGCCCTGAAACGGTGTCTGACGCGAGAAGCAGACGGGTGTCTGTTCTCTTTTTTTTTTTTCCTTTGGCGGC